AGCCTTGGGGACAGATAGGAGGACAGGGGGTGGGTACAGCCTCAGCCTGTCCAGGTGGCAGCCTAGCTCGAAGGCTCATCGTGGACACCAGCGAACCAACCAGCTGTCATGCAGTCGACTCAAACTCACGGCGACCCCGAGTGGATCAGCGTGAAACTGTGCCCTGCAGGGTTTTCGGTGAGTGCTTACATAACAGTAGGTTGCCAGACCTTTCTTCTGAGGGGCTCAAACCTCCAACCTTGCAGTTAGCAGCCTAGTGCATTAATAGTTTGCACCTCTAGGGGCTCCATGGGGTACAGAGCCAGGTAAACTAGACACACACCCCTTCAGACCACCTGGGGACCTGAAGACAGTAGGTGTCCCCAGCCATCTTCAGACCCCTCCCCGTGGCTCTGAGGACAGGCCGGAGATCCAACACCAGCACATAAGACGCGTTTGCACAAACAGTCTGTGCAAGTCCTATCTATTCTCTTACCGTTAGCTTTTCTTCTGCCGTGATAGAGAAAAGAGCTGTTAGCTGAGTTCTGTTCTAGAAAAAAGAAAAGGAATGTTTAGTCAATCCTGTGTAGAGCTGAGGATATGTCAGATTATATTTGGTAACATTTCCAAACAGCCCTGCCTGGAGGTGGCTGGGAATTAGCTGTGGTCTTAAAGCCCCTTTTGAGAGGAAATGAAACCCAACCCAGTGCTGTCGCATCAATTCCGACACCTAGCAACTCAAGAGGACAGAGGATTTCCAAGGTTGCACATCTTTATGGAAGGTCTCGAGACTGTGGTCCTCTTTGCCTCATCTTTGTCCCGTATTTTATCAATTTGTTGTTGCTGTTAAGCGCCGTCTAGTCAGTTCCAACTCATAGTGACCCGGTGTAGGATTTCCAAGGAGTAGCGGTGGGTTTGAACTGTCCGTCTTGTGGTTCAAAGTCCAGTGTTGATGTTACAGCACCACACCAGGAATCCATTTTGACAATAGCCTCATGGAATTAGTTGTTGTTGTTGTTGTTAAGTGCTGTTGAGTACAGAGTCACCTAATTGAGTTAAGTGGCATGTTGTCAGTTCCTGGAGAAGGACATCATGCTTGGTAAAGTGGAAGACCAGACAGAGTGGCAGCAGCAATGGGCTCAAGTGTAACAGCAACTATGAAGTTGGCACAAGACCGGGCAGTGTTTCGTTCTCTTATGCATCGGATCTCTATGAGTTGGAACTGACTTGATCTCACCTAACAACAACAATAATTTTGGGTTCTTCTTTTCAGCAGCCTCAGGAAATTCAGACTTTCAATCTTTTTCTCTCTTAGACTGTTGGTGACATTTATCCTGGGCCAAATTATCTCTGGCAAGGTGATACAGTGGATCAAGGGATGGGCTGCTACCCACAAGGTTGGCGGTTCAAACCCCACCAGTTATTCATGTTTATTAACCTCAGGTTGCTGTCTACTGCTGTTGGTTCTTAATCCAAAGAGCACCTTGATGATTTTTTGTAAAGTTGGTCTTGTCATTACAGATTCCTCTGTGGTGGAGGTGATGATGTGCCATGGAGTCAGTTCTGACTCACAGCGACCCTGTATAGGGTTCCGAGGCTGTCAATCTTTATGGGAGCAGAAAGCCTCATCTTTCTCCTGCGGAACAACTGGTAGTTTCGAACTGCTGACCTTGAGGTTAGCAGCCCAACTCATAACCATTACAGTACCAGAGCTCTGTTTTATATATATTTGTTGTTGTTGTTAAGTGCCGTTGAGTCGGTTCCGACCCATAACGACCCTGTACAGGGTTTCCGAGGCTGTAAATCTTTATGGGAGTAGAACGCCTCATCTTTCTCCGGTGGAGCGGCTGGTAGTTTCGAACTGCTGACCTTAAGGTTCGCAGGCCGATTTGTAACCACTACGCTACCAGAGCTACAGTAGTAGAGCCCCTTTAATTTCTGCTTTTCAGGAAATGTCCTAATTTCACCGTGGTATTTGAGGGGCAGCTTTGCTGGTTATAAGATTCTTGGTTGGCCATTTTATATTTTTTCTGTCTTTCAGAGTTTTGTTTTTGGCATCCCATTGCCTTCTTGTCTGTATGGTTTCTGCTGAGAAATCAGAGTTTAGTCTTATTAGTTCGCCTTTGTAAGTAACTTTTTGTTTTTCCCAAGCTGCTCTCAGGATATTTTCCTTGACTTTGGTTTTGGTAAGTTTGATTATGACATATCCTGGTTATTTAATTTGGGGTCTATCCTGGTTTGGGGATTCGTTCAGCTGCTTGAATGCTTATCTTCTCATCTTTCACGATGTTAGGGAAGTTTTCTTTCAGCAACTCTGACAATTTTCTCCATCCTTTGTATTGTCTATTTCTGTTCTGGAATTCCGATCCCCCATAAGTGGTTCCTCTTCATGGTGTCCCACATAAATCACAAACTTTCTTCTGAATATTTTAATTCTTTTTTCAGACTGTTTTTCTAGCAAACTAGTATGAACAGGTTTATCTTCAAGGTCACGAATTCCGGTACCAGGATGGCGCACGAGCGGTTGATGGTGGTGGTAGTGTGCCGTGGAGTTGGTTCTGACTCATAACGACCCTGTAATAGGGTTTCCGGGAGCAGAAAGCCTCATCTTTCTCCCGCGGAACAGCTGGTAGTTTCAAACTGCTGACCTTGAGATTCACAGCCCGATTCGTAACCACTATGCTACCAGAGCTACCAGGAGCAAGCAGTTTTAATTCCAGTTTGTAAGGAGGCTTGAGGAGCAGTGGCTAAGTACTCCGCTGCTAACTGAAACTTAATTCGAATCCAGCAATGTGGTGGAAGAAAGGTCTGGCAATCTGCCCCCTTTACATGACAACTAAAGGACCATTTTACCCTGTCCTAGGGGGTCACTGTGAATCTGAATTCACTCAAACAATAGCTGTTACCTCTCTGTCCTGTCGGTATCTCTAGAACATCCTGATGCCGCACCACAGAGCAGAAGGGGCAGAGCGTACCTGAGATGCGCCCTGGAACGTGAGCTGGGCCGGGAGCAGCAGAATCTCCCCATCCCTGACGTCTCCGGCTGTGAGCTGGGCTGTGTAGCTGACTGCAAAGGCATCTCCAGCTGCTCAGAGAGAAAACAGGGGCTCAGAGACACCCTTCCCCAAGCGGAGACCCAGCATGCCCAGACCCAGCCACACATCTTGTTTCTAGGGTTCAAAAGGAGGCCACCCTCAATCCCCAAAGTCCACAGTAATAGTGAGCAGGGAGAATTCCGAGTGCTGAATGGAGAACGAGGCAGAGTTACCTCAGCTCCTGGAAGCCTCCCTACTCTCCTTGTTAAGGGGCAGGGGGCACCACGCTGGGTTGGTGATGGATTGAACTGGGTGCACCCATGTGGATAGGATCCCACTGGGGAACTGGGCTTCCTTTGTTCTGTTAAGGAAACTGATCCCTGTATAGAGTGTCTTAAGCCTGATGACTTGTGAACTCTAAAAGGAGCAGATGAGGCACACAGAACAGTGTAAATGGGATAAGATGGAGATCGCCAGGGAACCGAGGAATGCTGGGACAAACAGACGCTGAGGGAAGGACTTTCCTTAAGAGCCCACAGAGAAAGAGAGAGAGCCTTCCCCGGTAGGGTAGCCAGTGTCCTGAATTCAGACTTCTAGCTTTCTAACGTGTGAAGGAATACATCCCATTAGGTAAAGTCCACCATCTGTGGTGGTCCTGTTAGGGCAGCAGGAAACGTATGGCAGGCTCCATCAGTCTTCCTGATGTGGGATTTGTCAAGCACGGACACTCAGGAAACCCAGGGGTTTCACAGTCTCATGCAGATTTCAAAAAAGGGCTCTGTTCGCCCCACACCGCCACCCACACTGCCACACAAAGGAGTCTTCACAGGACCCTTGGGCCTTGGTTGGTGGAACAGTAGATGCAGCTGAAAAGTCCCCAGGCAGCTGGGCTCTGTGAACACTTGGGGGCACCAGCGAGGCCACCTCTGCCCTGACAGGGGGAGGCAACCTGAGAAAGGGCCAAGGACTAGGTGAAGGAATCCAGGGATTCCCACAACCTAGCCACCCACAACGCACCTCAACTTCTTCCTCTAACAGTCGTCACCTTGCTTAATGACAACCTTCCCTGGAAACGGGGCTTGGGGATCAAAGCACACTCCAAACAAGGAGGCAGGACCAAGCACGCCTGCTCCCGAGAGGGGGGAAAGCGGCCACCCTCAGTTAAGCCCCAAGGGAAACTGACCAGTCCTGGGGACCCTGAAGGCAAAGAAAGGAACCTCAAACGGGATCTGGGGAATGAAGTGATCCCCTGTGGTTTTCCAATTTGGGAAATTGGACTCTTCCTTCTGGAAGGGGAGAGAGCACCCATGGGGGGTCCTTACTCCACGTTGTTTTCAGATTGCCTGACTCATAACGTTCTGACTCATAACAGCCTGATGTACAACAGAGCAAAACATGCCCAATCCTGAGCCACCCTCCTAACTGTTACTACATTTGAACCCATTACTGTTATCCCTGTGCCAATCCATCTCCTTGGGGCATCTTCCTCTGTTTTTCTGATCCTCCCCACTTTCCCAAGCATGATGTCCTTCTCCAAGGACTGGTCCTTCCTGACAACATATCCGAAGTATGAGAGACGAAGTCTGGCCATCGTGACTTCTAAGGAGCATTCTGGCTGGACTTCTTCCAGCACAGATTTATTTGTTCTTCTGGCAGTCCACGGTACTTTCAGTATTCTTCTCCAACACCATACATAACTCAAATGCATTAATTCTCCAGTCTCTCTCCATATGCTGTTAGGAGCGCGTGTTCCCACATTACCTATGAGGACTCCTCCTCGTGAGGTGACAGGCACTCAACAACTGACCAAAAGGACCCAAGGGCATCACGAAGAAAGGGCTGGCAATCTGCTTCTCTAATGTTCACCACCTAACACACTCCATGGGGCGTTTCTAATCTATGGCACACGGGGTAATCAAGAGTCGGAATCTACTCCAGGGCAACGAATTTGGCTTTATGGTAAGGCAACGTAGTTCTCAGGATGTTGTTCTGGGGCGACACTGTAGGATCAGCACTGGACTGCTAACCACAAGGTCGGCGGTTCAAACTAACCAACCACACCTCGCAAACCCTATACAGTGGTCACTGAGTCGGAGCCAACTCGACGGCACTTAACCATAACAACTCTTCTCAGTGTGGACCCCGCTGTCTGGCAGAGACCAAAGGCCCTTAGATAAAACCAAGAGGAGCATCTTCGCCCCGACTTCTGGTTGCAGACCCGCTGAGCCATGATGTATGGAAATGCTGAGGTCCTGGTGGCTCTGCGGACATCGCTGTGTCTGCCCGGAGGCTAACTACTGGTTGTGGGCGGAGTGTAAATCCTTTCTTTAAAAACAACTTTATTGAGTGTGACAGGCGTTCTGGTAGCGCAGCAGGGTACGAGGTGGGCTGCTCGCCATAAGGTCCGGTCACATCTACCAGCCACTCTGCAGGAGAAAGATGAGGTTTTTTGTTTCTGGAAAGATTACAGACTCAGAAACCGAATACAAGGGTCGCTATAAGTCAAAACCGACTCGATGGCACACCACCACCGCCGAGTGGGGTAGGAAACATAATGGCTTAACAGACCAATAAGCAACAGAGTAAGCAGAGAAAACACTGACGTTGTCAAGGATTTCATATTATTTGGATGCACAATCAATGCTCGTCGAAGCAGCAGTCAGGAAATCTAAGTGTGCATTGCACTGGGGAAACCTACAGCAAAAGACTTCTTTAGAACAAGTGTTTCAGAGCAAAGATGTCACCTTTACCACTGAGATGCCCCTGACTCAAGCCTTGGTATTTTCAATCGCCTCATAAACATGTGGCAGTTGGACAATGAATAAGGAAGGTCATAGAAGAATTGATGCGGTTGAATTGTGGTGCTGGAGAAGAATGTTGAAAGTATTATGGACTACTTACCAGAAGAACGAACAATTCTGTGTTGGAAGAAGTACAGCCTGAATGCTCCTCGGAAGCCAGGATGGCTACACTTCATCTCTCATCCTTTAGACATGTTATCAGGATGAATCAGTCCCTGAGGAAGGACATCATGCTTGGTACAGAGAGGGTCAGCAAACAATAGGAAGATCCCGAACGAGGTGGACTGACACATGACTCCAACAGTGGGCTCAAACGCAGGAACCACTGTGAGGAGGACAGAGGACTGGGCAGTTTTTCTTTCTGTTGTACATGGGTCCACTGCGAGTCAGAATCACCTCAATGGCACCTCACAACAACAACAAAGACATGTCCAAGCCCTACTCCTTGGAACTTGTGAATGCCACTTTGTGTGGTAAATAAGTCTTTGCTGATGGGATGAAGTTGGGAATCATGAGATTGAGAAAGCTGTCCTGGAAAACCTGAGTCCTCAATGAACTCTGAGTGATAACAGATGGAAGGTGGAGGGAGAAATGATACAGAGAAACAGAGAAAAACACGGAGCAGAGACACAGATACCGGAGAGATGCAGCCACAAGCCACGGAATATCGGCAGCCACCCGACGCTGGATGAGACCAGGAAAGGAATTCTCCTCGGAGCCTCTGAGGCAACATGGTCATGCCCACACCTTGGTCTCAGCCCACTGATACTGACCGTGGGCTTCCGGCCTCCAGAACCATGAGACAACCCATTCCTGCTGTTTTCAGGTCCCACTTACAGCAGCCACAGAAAACTAGAACATCGGGGTGTGATTTGCAGACACAAATCCACCACCTCTCAGACCACCATAATGATGTGAGAAGACTCACAGAGCATTATGCCACCCCGTCACCGCATTTTACTGTCCATCACCCTAAAAAGTAACCTCATTCCCATTCCCAAGACACCTCTAAAACCAAACGGAAAAAAAAACAAAAATCAAACCAGTTGCTTTCCAGTCAGTGCACATTGACAGCGACCCCAGGTGTGTCCGAGCACAGCTGTGCTCCACAGGGCGTCTACGGCTGACTTTCTGGGAAGATCACCAGGTCTTTCTTCCGAGGCATCTCTGGGTATATTTGAACTTCCAGTCTTCTTATTAACAGCTGCGTGTGTTAACAGTTTACTTTACCCAGAGACTTCTCCCTAAGTCCAAAATCAAAACCAAACCAGTTGCCGTGGACTGGATACTGACTCACGGAGACCCCGTGTGTGTACTCTGTCTTCACGGGCTGAATTTTCTAAAGCAGATTACCAGCTCTTTCTTCCAAGGTGCCTCTGGTTGGACTCGAACCACCAACCCTTCATTTAGCAGCCAAGTTTAATAATCATTTGCACCCACTGTGTGTTTCCCCTTTGGACTCGTAATTTAAATGGAAGGAGACCTGGTGGTGCAGTGGTTAAGAACTGGGCTGTTAACCAAAAAGTCAGAAGTTCAAACCTACGCAGTACTTCCGTGAGAGGAAAATCTTGGAGACCTGCTCCCATGAAGATCACAACCTTGAGAACCCTACGGGGTGGTTTTATTCCGTGCCATAGTCGCTGTGGGTCGGAATCGACTCAACGGCACACAACAACAACGTATCTGGAACCATACAATATGTGGACTGTCGTGTCTGGCTTTTGTGACTGATGTACTAGGTCTTGAATCAACATGCTGTAGCTGGGACCACTTTGACCTGTTTTTCTCCTTTGTTCCTTCCTATTGCTGAGCAGAATTCCACTGTGGGGACACAACCACATTTTCATTCTGCACACTCTCAACTGTGTGGGTCTTGTGTAAAACGTGAGGCATGTAAACAACGTGGTGTTAAGTGAATCCCTGCTTCTGCAACAAAGCAGGGAACCCAGCTTCCTCTAGAACCCCACAACATGACGAATGGAATTAATTAATGCCCCTTAATCATAAGGAGCTCTGGTAACGTAGTGGTTACCAATTGGGATGCTAACCTCAAGATCGGAAGTTCGAAACTACCAGTGGTTCCGTGGGAGGAAGATGAGGTGGTCTGCTCCCATAAAGATTTACAGCCTCGGAAACCCTAGGTAGGATCACTATGAGTCAGAACCAACTCCACGGTACTTAACAACAACAACAACAATCACACACATAATAAAGATTGAAATGTCCAATATTTTGTTCTATTGAAAGCATTTTTCTAGAATAAATAAGAGCAGCTAACCTGGGTAACATAAGCAGTTTGCACTCAATCACTAGCTTAAAAGGTTGGCGGTTTGAATTCAACCCATGGCACTGCGGAATAAAGGCCTGGAGAACTGATTCTGTAAATATTACAGCTAAGAAATCCCCGGAGTTCTGGTATGGCGCTGTGGGTTAATACGCTGGACTGCAAGGTCCGTTTGAACCACAAGATTGGTGGCTCAAGATCACCAGCTGCTCCTCGGAAACCCTATACAGGGTCGCTATGAGTCAGAACCGACTCCACGGCACTTAACAACAACAATAACAGGAAACACCTACAAACAGTTGTACTCTGTCACACACATGGGTCACCGTGAGTCAGAACAGCTTTGGTTTGGTTTTCTGACTCCGGGGACCTTCCAAAAGTTCATAGAAAAATAAAATGAAAAGATAAAGGAACGCCCAGACAGTGGGCCTTGGTCATCCTTCAGAGCTGGACAACAGGACTCCACCCGTGACTCAATTTTTAGCCACGCTATACATAGGTCAGTGGTTATGAGTCAGGCTGCTGATCTCAAGGTAAGCAGTTCAAAACTACCAGCAGTTCCAAAGGAGAAAGATGGGGCTTTTTGGTCCCATAAAGATTTACAGCCTTGGAAACCCTGTCCAGGGTTGCTGTGAGTTAGAACCGACTCCGTGGCTCATCAC